ATCGTACACCGTTAAAATCCTTGGAAAAAGGAAATTTTAAAAAATCTACGAAAGTGTCAAATCATCTAAGATAATTTTATTCAATTTAACAAATTATTGAACAAGACTTTAACAAGTTTTTGCAAAAATGGAATTTTTAGTTTAATGTGTTTCGAGTGCAAGTTCCCAAAATTTAAAAATGAAATTTTTGGCGTTGTCGGCAAAATTTAAAATGCAAATGAAAAACTGTTCCGATTGTTAATCATCTTGTTTCTTAAATACATTGTGTTACAACAGGAAAATCTGCATCAGATACAACTGTTCTTAGTCGAACATTTCATTAGCGGTAAGTACGAATTTTTTATCAAGATGGAATCTTGTAGTCGGATCGATCCAAGATCTTGCGTCAGTTGTTACTGTTTTGTTAATTTTATAAAATAACGTACTCTACAGGTGTAGTTTATGAAGCCGTCTTGAGTTTTTACCTTAATATATCTTTTAATTAGTAAAATAAGTAAAATATTGTCAAAACAGATATTTAAGGAAAGTATACTTTAAATAAAAATAAAAAGTCAGCATAACGAAACTCCCGCTGTGAAGCGGCTGCAAAGACAACACATTTCATGAAAGAAAACTTTACAAACTGCTGGCTGCTTAATGAATGCATAAAAAGGAGATAAATTAATTCATGAATGAAATATTCTTGTAAATAGAATAAGGAGTTTGAAATTAAAATGAAAATTCGCCGTCATAAAGCAAGAATTTATTCGTCTGCTTGTTGTACAGTCGGTTACATAATCGATAATCGTCACAGGTAAATCAATAAATAAACAATGCTTTTGTTTGAGTTCGTTATACTAATTAATATTGTGTAATAAAGTCTAGTTTAATAGAATATTTAATGATGACTTTTTTTGTTAATTAATGACAGATAAAGGTAAACCCACACTTGAAACTGTAGTTGTTTCAGTTATTTTTTAAGTAATTAAAAAAGTACTGAAGTAAGGAAAGTTCGAGACTTTATTAAAAGAAATGCTTAAAAGTGTTGACGTAAGTTTGTTTGTGTAGGGTAGAATCTAAATTAAATATTTCTTACTCCGTTCTTGACTGAACATTCTGCGTCATCTAGAAGCGAGTAGATGAAACACAGCGCAAGGTTATTTGAGTTTCTGTACGGGAGTGATTCTCTTCATCAGTGTTCTCTCACTCAGTTCATATTTCCCTATGTTTAAAGGATCCTATTGATTTGCCGGCTTCTTTAAAATCTGTTTTATAAATTTTAAACTTCTTTTCTTTTAAGTTAATAACAACCGAAAAAATGTTATATATTTTTTGGTTTAGTTTTACCCTCAGAATAACAGAAATTCTACCTTTTTTAAATAAAACAATATTAAAACTGTTTAGCGGTCTCCGATATTGTTCGTCCCTGAAATGCGACAAATACCGATTTTAAATCAATTATAATGTTTTGAAATCTCCAAACTGGAGTTGGTGTTTGGTAAGAAGATTACGTCGTCAAGTGATATTCACGTAATGAAATATAAAGATGACGTCATACATTTTTTTACTGTATTTTCCTTGAAAAAATATTTCGACGCAGTATGCTAAGACCTAAGATAGATCTTGAAATGATAATAGGTTTCATACGAGCGTTCTAGGCAAAAGTTGTGCTCATTCTAAATAATGCACACTGTATATTTTCAAATACATAATTAAATTTTTATAATAAAATCAAGAAAATAACACAAAACGGTAGAATTTTCTGTGTAATAAGTAGTTTAAGTTAAGTCCACGCCTTCACAAACATTTTTTTCGTTTCCTAGTCTTCATTGGCATAAAAGAAATGAAGCAGATTCACGACTTATTTGTACAGAGCGAATAAATTTTCAAACCGTGGTTTTTCTCTTTTTTATGCCGAATTTTTTTGTTTATTTAACTTTTTGAAGGAAATAAAGTGGAAAATGTAGTTTTTCATAGTTGCTCTTTAGATTCAAAAGCATTTTCTTTTACTTTAACTTTTAATTTAACCAAATGGAAAAATATATCAGTACAGTTAACTTCGATTATTATCTATGTTTATACATCAAAAGAATGCGACGATTAAGCACGTACCAAGGTGTCTGACCAGAACAGGGGCAAGAATTTGAATGATTTTGCCTCCTCAAAACAAAAGAGGCAATAAAATATTTACTAATTAAGCTAAAATTAAAAAAAAAACGTTCCAAATATTATTTCGGATATTTAGTTGTTATTATGATTAAATGTACGCGGGTGCAACATTACTGTATTATCAAATTTTCTAGAAAATGGGCTGAGTCGTTCTTCATTTGGTCAATAAAAAAATTGTGACTTATATTTTTACGTTCTTTATCCTGGTGTAAAATGTGTTGATGCAAATTGGATTTTTTGCGAAAATCTGTATAAGAAATCAAGGCGGATTCATACACTACAAATATAGGGGTCTGTCATTTTATAAAATTTAAATGACGGCTACTAAAAAAAACATTGAGCGGATGTCGTCCAATTATTGTGGAGATGATTTTGGTTATTGTTTCACCATCTACACGATAGCATATAAAATTTGACAAGAATGGGTCCAATTTTTTTCGAGATTATCCGCCTAATAAAAATCCACACACAGAGATGACAGCCACACGGAAATGGGGAACCTATTGTTTCGTACTCTAGGGGTCATGAAACATGAAAGTAGCCAGTCATTTGATAGACTATATATAGTACACAGAATAAATACAAAGTGTTGTCGACTTGCAGTTATTTTCTTTTAAATCGCCAGATCCTTCTATAATTTTGGTTTTCTACTGTCAAAACAACATAATTGATATAACACATCACAAATTACATTTTTTTATCGATGTTGCTTTTTTTAATAAATAATCCACTTGGATTTTTTTTGAACGACCAAATTTTATGATTTAATATCTACAAACTTAATTATGATTTTTTTATAGAAGCCTCTTTCTAAAAATTTCGTATTATCACGCAAAATTTTGAAATGACGTCATCAAATTGTTGGCGGGGATAATCAAACATTCCAAAAATACGTATGTATAGGTATAGAAGGCTTACTATCGGTCCATTAGTTTTGGAAAATATATACCGGGTCTCTGGAAAATGGCGAATTAACTCTTCCAGTACGTTACGTACGGGCGTTTCGGAAGTCCCAAAAAAAAATAATAAAAAAAATCTTTATGCTGTAGATTACGAAAAAAAACAGAATTTTATAAAAGAAAAATTGGCAACACTACGCATCTAATGCGTGAATACCTCCCCTGATTTCTTAATAAATTAATAAATAAACCAAACAAACACATTTAATAAGAGATTTATAAATTATAAACAAAAACAAAACCAACAAAAGAAAAACTAAACCCTAGCGAAGATGTTCAAAATTGCTAACCTGCGCAAGCTCGTAATGTTTCCAAATTTTGATCATTTTTTGTAAAAGTTAGTCATCAGTAGGACTTGCTAAAAAAAAACTGATTTTGGCAAATACCCTGTAAGAAAAGAGAGGGTGGATGGGCGGGGGTTAGTACCTGCTAAGATAAGACTGGTTTTGGCAAATGAGATCTCTCTAAGAAAATAGAGGGTGGGTGGGCGGGGTTAGCATCTTCTAAAATAACATCGATTTTGGCAAATTACATACCCTCTAAGAAATGAGAGGGTGGGTGGGCGGGGCTATTTGTTGGTAAGATAGGACTTTTTCAAATTCGTAAAAAATAAAACAGTAAAAGCTCACAAGATTTTTTCAAGTTCATCCAGCAACAAAACACCAGATTCCTTTAAATTTATCTGAAAATAAAACACCAGAGGACCTAAAAATAACTGTGAATATTTTAAACGTAGTGTTTTGAAAATTTTTCATAGGTACGTCAAACATTTTTAACTGCTTAGGTACTCGATTTTGCTGATTTGTACCTTCGGTTATCTTTGTCCATTCTAACTGAAATGGTAATTAAAAATGGTCATGGACGAGAATAATATTAACTAAAAGTTTTATTTTTACTAATTGTGATAATGAATGTGTTATTTGGTTGTTAAACGTAGCAAGAGAACCAATTTTAAAATCATAACTCCACCAAAATGTGAAAAGGATTTTTTTTACTATTTTTCCCAGACTCACCAGTTGATTGTTATGAGCGTAGCGGAGCCGGAAACGAAAGACATATTGTTTCATATTCTAGGGATAATGAAACTTCAAGAACACATAATGACTCTATTACAATACTTTCGAGTAGTATGTCCAACAGCTTTAGATTTTATTTGACAAGCAAAACAACAAAAATCGATAAGCAGACAGACGAACAAAAGGAACCTTGTATTTTCGTATTCTACAAGCTCTGAACTCTAAGAAAATATAAACTTCATTAAAGCTTCTATGATTTTAAGCAGCAATAATTTAAACGTTTTAAAAACCCGTATGTAGTGACAGTTAATTAAAGTGGGTGTTTATCTCACTTTCAAAGTACATTTTATTATAGAAAAAATATTGTTCTAACGCTGTCTGTATATGATACTTCCGTGTTTTGATGTTTTTAGAATTTTCTTAAGTACTTAGTTGATTTTGGATGTGCATGAATGTCAAGCAACGACATCAAGCTTTTAAAATTTGGCATTAATTAGATATTAAAATAATTCTTAAAAGAAAATGTGGTTGTGATGTCAGGTGGTTCTTGAAACAGTAGTACCGCGTGATCAGATATGACTGAGTCTGTTGGCAATCCTGGATTTTTAATTGAAATTGGTATCATGATGTTTTCTATAATTTCCGGTTGTCAGTTGACATTTTGAATTTCCAAAATATATCCAAAACATAACTAAAATTTATCGCATGTTACGACTGACATATCTGTCACACAATTACATCCGTTATGCCAACATAAACAGAAAAAAGTTCACATTTTTGTTTAAAAATTACTGCCAACAGACTCAGTAATTTCTGATCACGCGGTATTACTGGTTGCATCATTGCCAAATTTAGAGTTATCATTAGGTCAACCAAATACTGATAGTGATAACAAAACAAGACTCATTTACCGACATTGTGAGTGCAGTTATTTTTTCCAAAAAGTGTCCATTCTCCTCGTAAGTAATCTCTAAATTATTCAAAATTATGCATGGGAAATCTTTCAAGCCAGTAACTTTGTTGTAGGATTTCATAATGCAGGTCCGACTTCCCTTTGCGCTGCTTCTGTGTTTCATTGTCCCGTCCTTTCAACGATGCACTTCGACCATTGCGACAACTCAGTGCGATTCTGCATCGTTTTCACGTGGACATCCGGTGTCTTTGGGGTCCTACAAAAACCTCTTACAATTCAAGGGAACCAACATCGAAGAAATACCTGCAGGAACGTTCCGTCTGTTGCCAGAAGTCACCACACTTTATCTTAGTTTTAACGCAATTAAAAAGTTAGAGCCGGGCTCCTTCGAGGGCTTAAGAAAACTAAATCAACTGATCCTAAATCACAACAGTTTAGAAAGCATCAGTAACGGAGTGTTTCGAGGCTGCGACAACCTGAAGGTGCTTGATTTAGGAGCGAATAAAATTAAGGTTATTGAGAGAAATGCTTTTACCGAACTCATAAATTTAGAAGAAATCGTTCTGTCGTTCAATCAGTTGGAAAGTGTTCCTGGAAGCCTGGGCGCTTTAGTCGCAGTGAAAAAAATAGATTTGTCTAATAATAAAATCAAGTTCGTAGCATCGAACGCTTTCGCTAAGTTGAATTCTTTGGAAGTTTTAACTTTGGAAAGCAATAAAATTCGGTACGTTCAAGACGATGCCTTCAAGGGTTTGAACAAAGTGGAGGAGATTAATCTAAAGGACAACTATTTGTCGAATTTAAATGCTGCCAATCTTATAAATAACTTGAAGTCGCTGAAAACAATAAAACTTAGTGTAAATGATTTCGTCTGTAAGACACTAACGGCCATTATTGAAGAATTCGAAGCGAGGAATATCAAAGTGACGCATGGAGTCTCCAGATCGAATGTTACTGTAAATGGAATCGCTTGTAAATTGTAATAAATTTTTACTCTCGTGACTTTTTTCTTGCGATTTAACGTGGTAGAATGCTACTAATTATTCAAATGATTTAAAAGTGACCGTTAAACTTGCAAACCCATTAAAGAAGTAGAAGAAGCGGGCTTTGGGATCGCGGAATGCCGACGTTCCAAAATTGTATTCATTTCTTACTGAAACACCCCCGGGACTGTTTGTAAGCTTGTCCAATCTTAAATATTAATAATCAACTTTTACCCTAATGGAAAAAATTTATTCAGCCTCATTCAATGGTCTGACGAATTTGTAGGAATTAGATTTATTTCGGGATCAGATCCCTAATATTCCACTTGGCGTATTTCATGATTGCTCTAACTTAATCTACTTAAATTTGGGGAGGAATAATTTAGAGAAAATAAATGGTGATGTTTTCGCACACCTGAAGCATCTCAGGGAACTTATTATTTCATCTAATTTGTTAAGTTTCGAGCAAAATTGAGAAACTTTAGATGAGCTGAAATAACTAATTCGAGATGTTAATAAAAACTTACAGGTTGTAGTTTTGTACGGGGTAATAGCTACGTGCAAAGTACGTGAAATTATTACAAATGAAAATTTTGCTCCTTAATTTAGGAAAGATTTAAAAACATACTATAGTCCATAAAGTGACGCAATATTTTCAAATAAAATTTACAAACAGTTCTTATCCTTTTTTAGCACAGCAAATTTTCCTATATAAAACATTCAGTTTCCACGAAAACCACAAGAAATCGATAAATAATATTACAAATAATATTAAACACATCGGGAGGTTATTTTTTCAGGTGGGAAAAATAAATAAAAAACTTACAACAAGAAAAAAATTAAAAAAATTGTGATGACGTTATCAACTTTTTACTAGGACTAAATATGTCGACATAGATAGATGTAATAGTGTAATGCGGACATCAACAACATTCGATCTTTTGTTGAATTTTTTGCTTGATTTTTTGCCAAATTTTTCCTAGATTTTTTTTGGTAGCTTCTTTTCTTATTTTTTTCTTCTATTTTTCTTTATTCTATTTTTTTTTTGCAAAATTTTTTTGTTCCATTTTTTCGATTTTTGTCGTTGCTTTTTGATCGACTTTTACTTCGATTTTTTGTGGAATTTTTTTGTTCGAGGTTTTGTTTAATTTTTGTTTGTTCTTTTGTTTAGTTTTTCGTTAAATTGGTTAAATTTTTACTCGGTTTTTTTTCCTTATTTGATGTTCGATTTTTTGGATGATCTATTGTTCTATTTATTCCCTCAGTTTTTTGTTCTATATTTTTATTCCATTGTTTTGCTTTTTTTTTGTCCAATTTTTTTAAATCTTTTGTCCATTATTGTTAGATTTTCTGTTCAATTTTTTTTTTACTTTTTTACTCAATTTTTGGTTCAATGTTTTAATCGATTCCTACTCAAATTTTTGTGATGATTGTTCGCATTGTTAATTTTTTTTTCGCTTTTCTCTTTCATATGTTGTTCGACTTTTTGTTGGGTTTTGTTATAAGAACGAAAGATATTTTCGATTTTTTTCCTAAATTTTTGCTCGATATTTTGTCTAATTCTTGAATTTTTGCTTGATATTATCCTGACTTTTTTGTAGATTTTTTTTATTTTTTGTTGGATTTTTGTTCAGTTTTCTATTCACTTTTCTGTTCAATTGTTTAGATTTTTTTATTCCACAGTTTTTTGATGGATTTTTTATTCATTTTTGCTCGATTTTTGTTTGCTCTTCTGTTTGGTTTTTTGTTGTATTTGCTATATATTTTGTTAGATTTTTGGTTCAATTTTTACTCAGTTTCTATTTAATTTTGTATTGAATTATTTAATTATTAACTTTCTGTTCGATTTTTTTTACTTGATTTTTTTTCTATTTTTTGTTCGATCTTTTGGGTGATTTTTGTTCTGATTATTCTCTTAATTTTTTGTTCAAGTTTTTTGTTCCATTGTTTTGCTTTTTTTGTCCAATTTATCTTTTTTCCATTTGAGTTCGATTTTTTGCTCGATTTTTTTTACTCAATTTTTAGTTCAAAGTTTTTTCTATTCCTACTCAACTTTTTTAATAATAATAATAATATTTATTAAACGGAGCGATTGTTCTCCTTTATCATGTTAAGTACAGAAAATAAATACAATTACATACTTATAACTGACATCGACATCATCACAATATACAATATACAACATAAGTAACGTAACATACCATTAAACAAAAAAAAATATATAACACATTACAACAAAAATTATCCTGCACTTAAAGTGTTTCGTACCAAATTTTTAAAACGCTGCAAATTGTTGATTTTTCGCTGTAATTTTTTCCATATTTTGTTGGATTTATTGTTAGATTTTTTGCTTAGTTTTGTTCAACTTTTGTTCGATTTTGTTATAAAAAAGAAACAAATCGGAAATATACAACCAAAAATTTTATTGAATTTTTTCGATTTTTTCTTTAAATTTTTACTTCAATTTTTTTTTCTGAATTTTTTGTTCGATATTTTGTTCAATTCTTACTCGATATTTTGCTGCTTTTTCTGGAAATGTTTTCAAATTTTCGTTGGATTTTTGTTCACTTTTCTGTTTGTTTTTCTGTTCAATTTATTTTACTGAATTTTTTATTAAATAGTTTGTCTAATTTTTTGTATTACGTTTTTTTTTTCTTCTTCGAATGTTGATCGATGTTTTGCTCGATTTTTTGTGACATTTTTTGGTCGATTTTTCTGGATATTTTATTTACTCTTCTGTTTAGTTTTTGTTTTTTGCTGTATAATTTGTTTGATTTTTGGTTCATATTTTACTCGGTTTTTGTTCAATTTTTTATTCGATTTTTACTTCACTTTCTATTCGATTTTTCTTGAGTTTTTTTTACATGATTTTTTTTGTATATTTTGTTCCATTTTTTGGGTGATCTTTTGTGCGCTTTATTTTCTCAATTTTTGTTCCATTGTTTTTCAACTTTTTTGTCCTTTTTGTTAAACCTTTTTTTCCATTTTTGTTCGATTTTTTTGCTTAATTTTTTGTTCGACTTTTTTTTACTCAGTTTTTGGTTTAATGTTTTATTCGATCTTTTTACTGATTTTTGGTTGTAATTTTTCCAATTTTTTGTTGGAATTTTTTGTTAGATTGTTGCTCAATTTTCTGTTCGCATTGTTATATTTTTTGTTCGCTTTTGTGTTTCATATTTTGTTCGATTTTTTGTTCGGTTTTGTTAAAAAAAAGAAGCAAAACAAATTGGTTGGATATTTTCGATTTTTTTCCTTTGAATTTTTACTTGAGTTTTTTCTAAATTTTTTGCATATTTTATTCAATTTTTGTTCGATGTTTTGCTGATTTTTTTGTGAAATTCTTTGGTTTATTTTTTGTTTGCTCTCCTGTTTAGTTTTTTGTTCGCTTTTTTTGTTCAATTTGATTTTTGGTTCAATTTTTAATGAGTTTTTCTTGGATTTTTTATTTGATTTTACTTAACGTTCTGTTTTATTTTTTCTTGAGTTACTTTTACTTGATTTTTTCTCTCTATTTTTTGTTCGATTTTTTGCGTGATCTTTTGATCCATTTATTCGGTGAATTTTTTGTTCTATTTTTTTTGCTCAATTTTTTGTTCAATATTTTTTTATTCGATTTTCTTATGTTTCATGTTTTGTTCGACTTTTTATTCCTTTTTTGTTAAAAAAAAGAAGCAAATCGGAGACAACAAAAAATTTGGTTGAATATTTTCGATTTTTTTCTTCGCGTTATTCGTCGATTTTTTGACTGAATTTTTTGATGTATATTTTGTTCAATTTTTGCTCGATATTTTGTTATTTTTTTTTGTTGAATTTTTGTTCTACTTTTCGTTGGATTTTTGCTCAGTTTACTGTTGGTTTTTCGGTTTAAATTTTTTTACTCATTTTCTTGCAATTTTTTTCATTTTTTTCTGGAGTTTTTGGTCGATTTTTATTCAATTTTTGGGTGCTTTTCTGTTTACCTTTTTTGCTATTTTCATGTCCGTTTTTTTGTTCCATTTTTTTTTGTTTTTTCAAAAAATTGAACAAAAAATGTATTGTTCAATTTTTGCTCATTTTTTGTTGGATTTTTGCCTGGATGTTTTATTTCATTTTTGCTCAGTTTCTGTTCCACTTTTTTCTTCATTTTGTTTTCAATTTATTTCTTCTATTTTTGCTCTATTTTTCCTTATTTTTTGTTCAGTTTTATTGTTGATCTTCTTGTAAACAAAATGTGTTGCTTTGTATTAATTTTTTTGCGACATTCTGTACGATCAGTTCTAAAAAATAAAATTGAATAAAATACATACTTATCCAGAAGCATGCAACTCATTTCAAATGAAATTTATTTCGCAAAATTTCAAGGTAATCTGATAAAATCGCCAACAGACGACAGACCGATGGAAACGGAAGACTTACTTTTTTATATTTTAGGAGCTATGAAACGTCGAGAAAACAAGAAATTACGCTCTTTCTGTGAAAAGCTTCTCACTGAAAACCTTAGCCCCATACTGTCAATAAAAATGCTGAAAGTGCAGAACACTTAGAAAATAATTTAGTCAAAAGCAAAGAATCAGGATTTTAGGACCCATATTTCTAAAACAGCTACTGTTTTGTTGGAAAATTCTTGAGTGCATTAAAAGATGGTGAAAATAAAAAAATATTAAGAACAAAAAAATCACGGCAATAATCAAACAGGAACAGTCGAATAATGTGACAAAATCTTTGATATTTTAAAATATAATTAGGAACATGTACGCAATAAATTTTAATTGAAAGAAACTTTATTACGATAGTTAACATTTTTCAGTTTAACGGAAAATTTTTGCATTAACATGCAGCATCTCATAATGTTATATTTTCGAAACCTCAATAAGGTGTAAATATAACATATTTTGTAAATTCTGTCTTTGCATTTTTAATAAGAATTTGCCGTTTCCTTGAAATGGGCAGCAAATCTAGCATTTCTGAATTATTGGTTGCCTACATGCCAGGTGGGAAACATGCAAAATATCAAAGTCAACTTGATATTCAATCTTTTAT